AGCTACCGTTAGGTTTAAGATCTACCCATCTTGTGTCTAATTTTGTTACTGTATTTTACTGTTTTATATTATGTGTTTTTATTGTTTTAATCTTGGCACATTGTGCCCTTGTTAGCCGCCCTGAGCCTTCGGGGTAGGGCGGGATACAAATCTAAGGATAAATAAATAAATAAAAAACAGAGTCCGCGCACTTAACCACTACACCAAACTGGGTCTGGTTCCCACACTCAGCCTCACCTCCCTTGCAAGGGTGTTGTGGGGAAGCAACAGAAGAAGGGAAGAGTTGGTTTTCGTACCCCACTTTTCTCTTCTCTAACGAGTCCCAGAGCGGCTTACAATCGCCTTCCCTTCCTCTCCCCACAACAGGCCCCTCGTGAGGCAGGTGGGGCTGAGAGAGTTCTGAGAGAACCGTGACTGGCCCAAGGCCACCCAGCAGGCTTCCTGTGGGGGAGGTGTGGGGAATCAAGCCCGGTTGTCTCCAGATTCAAGTCCTGCCGCTCTTAACCCTGACACCCTGCTGGCTCTCAAATGTGACGGCCTCCTTGCCAGCAAGCACAGCGCTCCAGGCAGCCAGAGCAACCCCCCGCCTCCGGCCACGCAGCCCTCCGGGCGAGAGCTGAGCCCGTGCAAAGCCCCAGCCCTGTCAGGCTTACCTCATAGGCTGCCTTCTGCTGGACCTGAAGGGCTATCGATTCCTCGAGGGGGAGTAGCTGCATGGGGGCGTGGTGCAGGACGGGCAGGCGGGCGGCCGTGACGTCATCCAGGTGCTGCTTCTCCCTGCGGAGTCTTTCTTCAGTGGAAACGGGCAAGCGGCTGCCGCCTCCGGGGGAAGGCGCTTCAGAGGAGCTGCGGGACGACCCGCTCAGCTCGGCTGGGATGCTGCAAGAAGCCGAAAGGAGGGAAGCTGGGCATCCCCTCTCCCCCGTCCACCAAAGGGGAAGAGAGCCACGCGGCTCCCTCCCCCTCCTCCTCCTCCTCAAGCACTGGACCGGGAACTGCAGGCGCCGGGAGCTGGCTCTAAGCGACACACACAGGAAAACGTCCCGGTGGATTGGGGCCCCCCGGTAACACAGGCCGTGCCTGTTGGATTTCCTGCCTCAAGCACAGCACCCGCTCTTGCTCGAGCCGGCTGCATCCAAAGTAACTACCAGTAAGACACCAGTAACACAAAGTAACACACCTTCGCAACACCCCCCCCCACGAAACATGTGTTAATATATCCAAAGCCAGAAGTGGTTCAAGGTGGGATGGCGACTGAACTCTTCTGCTCAAAAACGGGTGGTTAAAATGACTCTGCATGGCTCACGCTGACCTGTGCCGTAAAGGCAAACCTCTCTCCAGGAAGAAGAGGAGGAGGAGGAGGAGATTGGATTTATCCCCCGCCCTTTACTACCAGAAGGACTCTCAGAGCGGCTTACAGTCTCCTTTCCCTTCCCTTCCCCTCCCCACAACAGAAAGCCTGTGAGGCAGGCGGAGCTGAGAGAGCTCTTTCGAGGACTGCTCCTGAGAGAACAGCTCCGAGGGTACTTGTGACTGACCCAAGGTCACACCAGCAGCTGCAAGTGAAGGAGGAGTGGGGAATCAAACCAGCTCTCCGGATTAGAGTCCACTCAGTGGCAGAGAAGAAGAAGAGATTGGATTTCTACCCCGCCCTTTGCTACCCGAAGGCGTCTCAGAGCGGCTTACAATCTCCTTTCCCTCCCCCACCCCACAACAGACACCCTGTGAGGCCCTTTTGCCGGCACCGCTGCTCACCTGTTGGGCTTGAAGGCGCTCTTTTTCCTCACGGGGTTCTTAGCTCTCCTTTCCAGCACTTCAATGTAGTGTGGTTGCTTCTGCCCGCGGACATGTGCGGATTGTGGCGCAGAAACCCCGAGGGGGCCGATGCCTCGGAAACACTCTCCTTCCCTGGAGGAGGGTCAGAGTCCCTGCGGACCTGCTGTGCTGGTTCTGGCTCGTTTTGTGCCCTCGTTTTTGTGGCCCAAATGCTTGGCTGGTTTTGCACAGCCACCCCAAGGGCCTCGCTGGCACAAGCGGCAGGAGTCCGAGGCGCATCTTCCCCGGCCGGGTTGTCCTCGCTGGCAGCATTCCCGTGTTGGCTGGAGTCAAGCCCCTCTTGTCTTTTCTGGAACGCAAGTCTAACCGTGGACAAGAACTCCGTTCTTTTCCTTTCCTCCTCCTTTTGGGTTATCGCCACCTTCAGTTTCTCTGCAAAAGCAGAGATCTTCTTACCTTTATCCGGAAGCCTTGATATAAATTTCCTGAAAGAGACGACAAGAAAGACG